TAGATACACTCTTGGAGCTTTCTTGGTAAAAAGGATTCAGATGTTGGCTGTCTATGCTATAATTTTTTTTGGTGAGGAGAAAATAATTAAAGTGTACCATTTTATGTGGTTCATAATGAATCCATTTGAAGAAATTATCTTTGAACACAAACATTAGGAAATTCGATCCAAATAACACGAACACTTGGGAAACATTTTAGTTTCTTTCCTTGGCTGTTGGACATACCTACTAAAATAAACTACAAGAAAAATACTTCAGTATTTATCATATTACACATCAGTACCCAGACCCATGGTGAAGGAGGGGTGGCGTGTTTGGGGGATCAGTGTATCATTTATCTGTGGGACAACAACAATAAAATGGAATTCTTGTAAAAGTGAAGTGTTTTCAAAAGGTTTCTAAAGGTGCTTGTTGACTAGGAAGCATGAAGTTTTGCCTAAGGATACATTATTAACCTAATTTTTTTCTTTAATAGGAAAACAAAAAATATTTCAAGTGTAGTGAATTTGCAAAAAAAGAAGAGGAAGCCTATTTCGAAAGATGTGGCTATAAGGTATGAATACCTCCTTTTATGTTACATTGTATATTTTTGAGTTTAAATTTATGCAGCTGTTGTTAAATGACAAAATCATTGATCTTTGTTCAATTTATCGATGTTATACATTAGCCTATAAATGAGAAGCCATCTGGAGAGGTATGAGTTTTGGTTTTTGCTTTTGTTTTCTTTAATCTTGAATTTAGGAAAATATATGCATGACTTTTGGCTTGGAATGGTTTGGCTTTTTGTGGATAGCATGAACTGGCTTGAGATCAAAGCTTGAAGTTTTCTTTTTAAATTAAGTCCTGGATCTGAGACTACCTTATTTCTACCTCCACCACCACTGCTCTCCCTCACCTCTCCCAATAAAACGGTCGGTTTTCAGAGATCAGTAGTGATAATCACCAGTGGTATTTCCCGATTTCTCCTGAGTATTTTGAGCCCTTGGTTTTGTTTGCATTTGTTAATAATTCCTTTTGGGTCCTAAGCACCCCTGGCTGAAATATACACTCTATGTATTTATATGCTTTTGTTGTAATAAGGTGTCACATTGTATACACTCTTCAGTCTCTTGGATAGAAAAGGTAATTTTGAAATATTTTTTAGAAATGTGTTATCTGGAAGGCTTTGCTTGTGTATTTTAGAAGCATGAGTGAAATTTAAAATTACTTGATAATATATTGGGGTTTTTATTGGGAGGGGTTACTGGTTATGAGGTGGAGAAGTTATGCTTGAGTTATTTTAAAGTACCTAGTATAATAATTTTTATCTCAAAGTTAAGAGGTTCTATTGAAATATTTTTGCCAACTCATACATTTGAAATTAACTTTTTGCTTGTGGAACATCAATATAAAATAATACTGTTGTGCATGTAATTGGGAAAGTTTTGGAAATTAATTTATCTGGCAAAGCATTTCTAAAAGGAAGCATGAGGAATGCAAATGGTATGTATATGCATTGGGTTTTATTTTGTAGTGTTGGGAGATGGCAGGTATTAAAGAAAAATATAGTTATTTTTCTGAGAGGTTTTTAAAATATGAATGTTTCTATTTTTGTTGACAATTTTTCCATAGAGATCTTTGTTTCATTTGCTTTTAACTTAGGAAATGAAAGTACATTTTATGTAAATAACCACTGGGTAGATACTCAGAAGAGTTCTATTTTTTTGCTTGCCGAACATTGTCTAATTCATGAGCGCTGTGGCGCATGCCTGTAATCTGAGCACTCTGGGAGGCCGAGGTGGGTGGATTGCCTGAGCCCATGGGTTCGAGACCAGCCTGAGCCAGAGCAAGACCCCCAGCCCCAACTAAAAATACAAAAAAAATAGTCAAGAGGATTGATTGATCACAAGAGTTGGAGGTTGCTGTGAGCTATGATGTCTCCATGGCACTCTACCCAGGGCAAGAGCTTGAGACTCTGTTTCAAAACAAAACAAAATTGTCTAATTCAAACTTAATCTAAATCTCTTACATAGGTTTAGATTGCTAACTTGCTGCATTCCCAGTTCCCTAAATTTAAACCTTTATGACTTTTTGATAGGCAGGAAATAAATTTAATACAGTGGCAGTTTTTATTTAGGTTGTCTCAGGGACAAGGAATTGCTGCTGCTGCTTTTTTTTTTCTTCTTATACTACATTTAGAGGAAAGCACTGAAGCAAAATAATCACTGTAAGGTAATTGCTGGTAACTTTGAGGCCAGCTGACAGACTGTCTTAGATCTTTTCCCCAGAGCTAAAAACTGCCATTAAATAATTAAATGTGCTTTAGTCCTGAGATTTTTTTTTTTTTGAGAAATACCTGTTTCTATGCTTAAGAAGTAAGCACAGGTTTTTCTTTCTAAAGATGTTTTAATTATTCTTGATAGGAATAACAATATTTTTAATAGTAGGTATTACTTTTATTACTTTATAAAAATTAGTTGCTATTTTTTAAGGCTTACTGCTGATTTGTCCTGTGAAAATATGAAAATTTAGTTGTTTTTTTGTTTAACCTCAGTATCAGTTAACATATTAACCGTAAACTATGGTATGATGAGTTCTATGATTTTTTTTTTCCCCATACAGCCTTTCTTAACTGAATGTGAGTTTCCCCTTAATGTTGGTCGTCTTTAATGCTCTTTGATTTCACTCCTACTTTCAGCATTTTAGATTTATCTTGTGTTCGGGTGGGAGACCATGTTTCAGTATCTGCTTGCAGACTGCCATGGGTCTTACAAGTTACTAAACCTTGTTTTCCTCAACTGTGACTTGGGCAGAAGATTTGAAAAAACACGTGAGGAGATTTTTTTTTCCCTGCAGGGTCATTTAAGCAAGAATGTCCACTCTTTCCTGGGTGGCATGAGTAGAGAGGAGCTGTTCCCTTTTTTTTTCTATAAGGCTTATAGCTCACTTTGTGGGCCAGTTCTGCTTGGGATTTTTCTGTGTGTCCAACAGCGATTTCTGTGCATTTGGAATATTATGTCTTGAAAATCAGGATAAGAAAGAGCTAGGGTGTGAAGCTTCACTGTTGGAAAGCAGTTCTTTAGTTTTCACTTTGAAGCTGAGCAGGAATCAGAATATCTTGTAAGAGGATTTTCTTTAAAGAGGAGGAAAAAGTTGGTTGTTCCTAAGAAAAAAGACATTTCTTTATAATAGGGGGAGAAAGTGAACGCAGATTGTAGCCCTATTAAATTTTGATTTTAGGAACTATGATCATCATGCCACTTTTTATAGCAGGAATGCCACCTCTTTTGTGCATGCTTTTTACTGGTGATGTTCCTGAAATGGGTACGTTGTTTGATCAGCTCTTCAAAGCATGTTTATTTTGAGCTCTTTCCACTGAGGAACATTAGAAAACCTTCAATATTTAAAACATGTTTAATTTTCATGAATAGCTAAGGTAATGGAATGACAAGTATTAACTGTGTTTTAAAGGGTGAATTTCATTTGTCTTGGCTATTAATATAGATACAGCCAAAGGAGGAGGACCAGAAACCATTAACTTCATCAAATCCAGTGTTAGAACTCGAACTGGCAGAGGAGAAATTACCTATGACTCTTTCTAGGCAAGAGGTAAGTTTATGAGTACTCGTTTCATGGAAGAAATTTATTTATTTCCAGTAAGTTAAACATCATTTTTTTCTCATTTGGTTTACTGACCTAAAAATACTGTTCAGCTAGACAGTTTGCTTCATGAAGTTCTAAATTAATCTCTGCTTCTTTTCTTAATAGTATTCTTTTTTAAGCGATATCCTTACAAACTTTAAAAAAAAAGTATATTCCTAAATAAAGATTAAATGTGTATATTATGAATAGTCACACTTAAGTGTCTAAATTATTTTAAATAGTTTATTATTTTACAACTTGCTTTCCTCTCCCTTATTTAATGGTATAATGTATCTTTCCAGGGATCTACATAATTTGTAATGACTATATAATTTCCTATTGTTTGCTTGTACTGTAATATTTTTATAATCATTTCTTTATTAATAGTCATTTAGATTGCTTCAGTATATCCTTATAAGTAATAGTAAGATGGACATCCTTATACAGACATCATTGCATGCACAATAATGTGTGATTATTTCATTGGGAAAAATTTGTAAATGTGTGATTTTTAAGGTAAAGGTTATGTACATTTTTGAGACTTGGTACTCTCAGATATTGGATATAATCCTCATAACTTGGTCTAAGTTATTTAAGCCTCCAATTTTAAGTAATGTTTTAACGTGGTAACTAGCTCAGATTCCTTTTTTTTCTGTTAAGGTTCTTTTCATTTTTGGCCCTAATTCAGTCAGTCATCTTTAATCTTTGTGTGTCCTCAGTAGTCTGTCCCTGTTTTGTCCCTGTTTAGTGTGAATTGAGCTAACTGTAAGTGATAGCCAAGTGTCTAGGTGAAGAGATTGTGTGTTCTGTCCTTCTTACAGGTCAGTACATTTCACTGTTATTTTTTAGTTCAGTATACCATGGTTTTAGGTTGCACATTTCATAAGAGTAGACTTTCAGAGGAATGAAGACTGACTCTAGAACAGTGGTTCTCAACCTTCCTGATGCCACGATCCTTTAGTACAGTTCCTCATGTTGTGACCCCCAACCATAAAATTATTTTTGTTGGTAAGTATTTTTTTTTTTTTAATTCGTTGTAAACAACTCTAATTTTAGAAAAAGACTGAGTATTCTATGTCGGTTTGTAAAGTAGAAATAGGATAAATTCTTCAGTTTTGAGAAGCAAAACATATTGATCAAAACTGGGATGGGATGTTTCATGAAGAGAGCTGATGCCTGTTACTTGCCAGACATGGATCTCATGAGATTTTTGAGGTTATTTTTGCATTTGATTGGAGGTAGCATTGGACAACCTCTTAAAATTTCTATTTTAATTGTAAACTTGTATTAATCCGATGGGACTCTACCAATGGTTTCTATTTTATGCTCTCAGATAAAGTTCTTGGTGTGATTATTTTTTAAAAATTGGGTTAACTTTTTTATTTTCTTGATATATACTTGAACCTCTGTAAGTTGACCACCCAGGGGACTGTAACGAACTGGTCAGCACATGGTGTTAACAGATGAAGAGGGTCTGGCTGCCTGTCACTTGTTAGTCACTGGCTGAGATTCTGGAGAACATTGAGAGTAGCCTCTCCTAGACAGGTCCGTTTTTTTGTTTCTGAAATCACAGTTTTATACGTGAAAGTTTAAGGTAAAAATCATGTTATTCTTTATTTTAAATTAACAATAATTGGCATAACCCTTCACCCATAATAAATAATAATCAGCATTGCCATGACCCAAAATAATTCCTAATTTAAAAGTTAATCTAAATCAAACCTAAACCAGGCAAACTAGCTGTATCATCTCAGCCCTCATCTAAATAACTCCATCTTATTGTCACTACATACACTTTCACGGAGGTGGTCAATAGGTCAACATAAGGAACTAGGCCTACTATACTGATAAGTACGTGTGGTGCATGTCTGGTCTGTGAAAATTGGGTCACCTTGAGGTGATCAGTGTAGGGAGGTGATCAGCTATGGAGGTTCTACTTATTTTTTGTTTTTTTCCTCCTCCTTTTTTTTCGTGCGATGAGATTTTACACTTTTGCCTGTGGAGTGCAGTGGTGTGATCATAGCTCACTACAGCCTTGAACTTGGGGGTTCAAGCAGTTCTACTGCCTCAGTCTCCCAAGTATGGGACTGCAAGTGCATGCCATACTGCATGGCTAAGTTTTTACTTTTTTTTTTTTTAATAGAAGTGTGTTGCCCTGGCTGATCTTGGAACTCCTACTGTCAAGCCCTGGGCTTTATCTTCTGCCTTGACCTCCCAAAGCGCTGGGGTTACTGACTTGAGCCACCACTCTCTGATGGTGTGCATCTACATTTCAGCACAAGTGTTTGGTCACTTAAAATGTGTTAATATGTTAGTGTTAGAAAACTTTAGAGCAGTTATAATTATGTAAAATGAGTACCAGAAACTTTTATTGGAGTGGGTTTTTTTTTTTCTTTTTGAAAAAATAATTTTTTTGTCTTAGAGCAGTGGTTCTCAACCTTCTTAATTGCTGCGTTGTTACAAATGGAAAAAAGGGGTGGAGACCCACAGGTTGAGAACCGCTGCCTTACAGAGAAAGGGATGGTTCATATAGGGGTTTTTGATTTAAATTGTGGATTCTTAGGTCAGACCACGTTTTAGGAGGTATTTGGTCTAAATTAGGAACAGTGACCTGTGAGTCAAATAGATTTCTAACTGAAGTACTTGATTTTTTCTTTCATTCACAGACATCTTTGTTCAGCATAATTGAAATGATGAAAATATCTAAAGGATTTTGTATTTCACTGAGAGACATGTTTGGATAATTAAGTTAGCTTTATTAAACCCAGGTTTCAATTTTAAGGAAAAAATACATTGTTTTAAGTTGTTTAATTTTTTTCCTTTCCCAGAAGTTAAATCATTTACTAAGCATTCGTTTGACTTTATAGGTAATCAGAAGATTGAGAGAAAGAGGAGAACCAATCAGACTGTTTGGAGAAACTGATTATGATGCTTTTCAGCGTTTAAGAAAAATAGAGATCCTCACACCAGAAGTTAACAAGGTAAGAAGTCAGAAGAAAGCTAGAAAAATACTGTTGTACCACATAAACAAGAGTAGGGTTTGACTGATTGCATTATTATAGGCAAAATGGAAAAATAAAGTTGGCAGATTAGTATTGCTGACTGTAAGTTTTCATCAATTTTTTTAAAACACATATCTTCAACATACAGTTTATTGCATGCTGATAAACACATATGAGCATGTGACCACTACTGTTACAAACTTTCTTTCACCCAGGAAAGTTCCCCATTGCCCTTTCTTAGCCAATCCCCCAGCCTTTCTCCTCTATTCTTGGGCAACCACCTTTTAAATTCTATCACCATAGATTAATTTTGCTTGTTCTAGTGTTTCATAAGGCTGGATTCAAAGACTGTGTGTCCAGCTTCTTTTGGTTAGCGCAACGGTTTCTGGATTCATCTTGTTATTGCAGACACCATTAAGTTCCTTTTCATTTCCCAGTGCTGTTTAACTGTATGAATATGCCGTAATTTATTTGTAGCTATTAGGAATAAAACTGTATGAACGTTCCTATACAGATCTTTTTTTGGAACTACATTTTCATCAGAGAAATATGTTACAGTTTTTAGGGAAATACCTAGAAGTAGGATTGCTGAATAGTAGGAGTAGAAGTGTGCTAAACCTCATGAGAAATGCCAGGCATTTCCAGAGGTCTGTGTTTGGTATTGCTAGACTTTTTAATTTAACCGTCTCTTGTATGTGTACTTGCATCTCACTGTGGCTTTATTCACATTTCCCTGATGACTAGAGATGATAAGCATCTTCTCATAGACTTATCTTCTTTGTGCAGTGTCTGTTAAAGTCTTTTGTTCATTTTTTAATTGGATTGTTTATCTTTTTGTTAAGGAATTATAGTTCCTTCTATATTCTGGAGATAAGTCCTTTGTCAGATGTACAGCTGTATTTTGTGACTGTTCTGGTCTGTGACTTACCTATTCTCTTAATGGAGTCTTTTGCTGAGGAGAAGTTTTAAATTTTGGTGCAGTCTTGTTTATCAGTTTTACCTTTTATGGTTATTGCTTTTTGTGGTCTGCTTAAATCATTGCCTGTCCAAGGTCTCAGAGAGATACTCTTATATTTTCTTCTAGAAGCTTAATAGGTTTTGCTTTTACATAAGGCTCTGATGCTGTTTTGTGGCTCAGCATAGGGTCTGTTCCATGGTCTCTTGAAAAGCGCGTGTTCTTGCTTTGGTGATGCAGTTCTATAGGTGTAAGTCAGGATGGTGTTGTTCACATGTTCAGCAGCCTTGTTCACTTTTTATTTTCTTATTCCATTATTGAGAGACAGGTGTGGTTATCTGTGGCAATGTAACAGATCACCCTACAACTTAGTTGTGTAAAAGGATTTATTATCATATAAAATCTTTTTGGGCTACCCGTGACTGTAACACCATCCCGAAACCTGGCAGCTTGAAGTAATTTATCATCATCTCTCAAAGTTCTGTGGTTTGATCAGGCTGGACTGGGTAGGTTTTTGCTTGGGATATTTTGTTTGATTGCAGTCAGATAAATCCTGTGGCTGAAGTCATCTGAAGTGTCACCTGGGCTGGTCTGCTAGGCTGGTGCCTTTGTCCATATGCTTGGCATCTGAGCGGGAATGGCAGGAAGAGGGGGCCGGCCAGGCCCCACCTACCCCATGTGCTTTCTGTTTGCTAGCTTGGGGGTTTCTCACTGCTTTCCTTGTTTGTTGCAGAACCACTTTCCTGCTTCACTTGTTAGCATTGACACCCCAGCCAGGCAATACTAACAGGTGTCGCAACACTGTCTGTCCTTTGGGTCTGTAAAGACAATTTTTCCTGTGCCTGCTGTGTTCCTCTCTTATGTACCTTGATTGAAATCTTATCCTTATGTTTTCAGACACAATTCAAAGATGATATCTCTTCTCTGAACCTATCCTTGGTCCCATTCAGAATTGATCGCTTCCTTGTCAGTGCTCCAGTAACTAAACTTCTGTTGGTACACTTACTGTGCGTCACTAGGATTGGAGCATGTGCGTATTTATTTCTTCCTGGTGGTCAAGGGCTGTTTTGTGTTTGGATGCCAAGTTTAGTGCCTTGCATGTAGAGGTGTTTTGGAAAGAGCACAGGAGCCTGAGGTGTAGGTTCCATTCCTAGGTTCTTCATTGTGTGACCATTGGCAAGTTTTTTAATCCATGTGAGCCTTGTAACCCTCGTTTGTAAGATAGAGACAATACCTGGCTTACAAGGTGTAGTGAGAACTAAACGGGTAACCTTTGGGAACACCTGGCATTATGTATAACTTATGCAGAGCAGGTCCTCAGTGAGTATTTAGCAAATTAAAAGTGTTTTGAGTTGAACGTTTTGTGTCTGTGTTTATTAAAGGATGTTAGACAATGATCAGATGCTTCTAATATAATGGCATTAGGAGTTAACATGTAGAATGCATGTTATGCTCCAGTGACTGTTCAAAATACCCTGTATGTTTATGAATTTATTGAAATAACTTGATGTTTGCAAGGCTCTGAGTAGTCTGAGTATGTGGAAACTGTTAATCATGACAACCCTCATGGTAGATAGTAGTATTAGTGTCATTTTATAGGTGAGGTACCTGAGGCACACAGGTGAGCTGTCCAGGAGCTGGTAAGTGGCAGGGATTTAAACCCAGGAAGCCTTCCCTCTCAACCACTGCCCCACAGCCATCTCATGGCCCTGGTGCCCTGGCTCTTAAACCTGTAGCTGATTCCCATGCATGTTTAGGAAGCTGACGCTCCCTTTTTTTATTAAATGGTCATAAATCGGACCTGTCTGAAATGTGGTTTTTGCTGGTTAGAATCATAGTTGAGATCCTGGGACATAGAGGAGACACCAGTTTTGTTCCATTGACATTTCTGCATGTTGTGGACATTCAGAGTAGTTGGAATGAACTTAGACATTGTCAGTAAACTGGGAACATGGGTTAGGGACTCTGATGGAGACCTGGTTACTTTCATTAATCGTCATTAGGAAATTACAGCATTATGAAGATTCTCATTTGTGTTTGTCACTCATGTCTCTTTTATGTTTCTGGTCATTAGACTGTCCATTGTGCTTGCATCCTTTTAATTTAATTATGTTCATAAGTGTTAACTTTAAGTGGACTGTAATTTTAGTTAGATGATAAATTGATGCATTGAATCCCTAGTTTTGCCACAGTCTTAACTGCTTGTGGAGAAAAAAATGAATTATAGTTATTGATAATGCAAAATCATAGGTGAAACACCAATGAAACGTCATAATGGGCATACTTTTTCATCTTTCTAGGGATTAAGGAATGACCTGAAAGCAGCTTTGGATAAGATTGATCAGCAATACCTTAATGAAATCGTGGGTGGTCAGGAACCTGGCGAGGAAGACACACAGAATGATTTGAAGGTCCATGAAGAAAACACCACAATCGAAGAGTTAGAGGTAATCTCTGCACTCAGCCCAGCCCTCTTTCTCTGGAGCAGGTGGTTGGAGGGTGATTCTCTGCAGAGCACCCTGCCATCTTTGGTCAGGATAGGCTCTTCTTTTATTTATTTACTTCTCTTTTTTTCAGTCTCCACTCACATTCTCTTTCTACCTTCAGAAGTGTCCTTCTGATATGTTGGACGTGTGCCCTTTTATTTGTAGTTTTATGAAGCCTCCACTGTTTTATGTACACGTCTTTTTGATTGACAGGAATGATACTGTGCTGTGAAATTCTTTATTTTCTTTTTTACTTTTATTTTTTTCACTTAGTACCATGTTCTTAAGACCCATCCTTGATACTTTATGTGCATTTAACCCTTTGCTTTTAATTGCTGTGTAATATTCCACGTATAGAAAACCCTCCATAGCTGACCACCTCCTTAAGTTGACCTAATTTTCATAGACTGGACATGCACCACATCCGGATACCAGTACAGTGGGCCTAGTTCCTTATGTTGACCCCCTCCAGGTATCGACTCGTTTGTTACAGTCTCTTAGGTGGTCAGCTTATGGTATTCTCTGTATTTTACTTTTTGTTTTCCCATAATGATGGACAGCTAGAATATTCCCAGCTCTCTCTCACCACAGACAGCTTTGTGACAAGCCGTCTTATGCATAACTGCTGTGACCTAAAGAATGGGACTGAGGGTTGTGTATGTCTATCTAATGTGTCTGAGTGCTGGTGAGTTGCTGTCTGCGATGGCCGTCCCAGTCTGCACTGCACTGGCTGCAGCAGCGTGTGAGGGGCTCAGGTCCTTCCATCTCTGCTGGCACTTGGCAGTGCTTTGCTTTCTAATTTTTGTCACAGTGTTGGATGTAGAGTGATATATATATATATAATTATATATATCACACAATATGTGTATCATTTTACTTAAAAGTGTGTAAACATTGAACGTGTGAAAAAAATATGGGTTTTAAGTTCTTAATGCTTAATGAAATAGAAGCTGTTGCTATTCTGTTTCCCTTCATTCCTGGCTCTTTGTACCTGTGACTGTCTCTGAGTGACACCGTAGTTGAGGAAGGTGTCATTTTAATCCCCTCTCTCCTCTAAAACCTTTCTGGGGTTCCTAAATTTTACCACAATAACTGATGTGGGCAACCAGTCACGGGCTTATTTTCTTTATTTTTAGTTATTTTTTATTTTATTTATTTTTTTTGAGACAGAGCCTCAAGCTGTACCCCTAGGTAGAGTGCTGTGGCATCACAGCTCACAGAACCTCCAACTCCTGGGCTCAAGTGAGTCTCCTGCCTCAGCCTCCCAAGTAGCTGGGACCACAACACCTGGCTATTTTTTAGTTGCAGCCCTCATTGTTGTTTGGCGGGCTCGGGCTGGACTCGAACCCACCATCCTAGGTGTATGTGGCTGGTGCCCCAGCCACTTGAGCCACAAGCGCTGAGCCTTTTTATTTTTTTGAGACAGAGTCTCAAGCTGTGGCCCTGGGTAGAGTGCCATGGTGTCACAGCAACCTCAAACTCCTGGGCGTAAGTGATTCTTTTGCCTTGGCCTCCCAAGTAGCTGGGACTATAGGCGCCTGCCTGGCTATCTTTTTTGTTGTTGTTGCTGCAGTTGTCATTGTTTTTTTTAGCTGCCCTGAGCCGGGTTCAAACCTGCCAGCTTCAGTGTATGTGACCAGTGCCCTACTCAACTGAGCTATAGGCTCAGTTGTTTTCTTTTTTTATAAACAACTTTATTGAGATATTCATATACCATGCAATTTACCCACTTTACACTTACAACTCAGTGAGTCTTTAATCCATTCATACGTGGTGCAACCATCATCACAGTCTGAGTTTAGCACACTTTGTTCCCCCTCAGAAGAAGCATCATATCCATTAGCATTCACTCCCCTCACCTTTGTTTACCTTTTGATTCATAGAGGATAACATGCTCTCTAAATGGAAATGGCAAATCAGTGTTTTTTTTTTTTAAACCTAGAAATTCTATGAGGTTTTTAAAATAAAAATTAAACAGTGTATATAACAAAAAGCAACATGTATACTGGTGTTGATATATATTCAGCCATTCTTGGTGCTGGTGGTCAAGGGTGTTGTTGCTCTTTCTTCAGGCCCTGGGGGAGTCCTTAGGGAAGGGTGATGATCATAAAGACATGGACATCATCACCAAGTTCCTGAAGGTGAGTGTGGGGAAGGGAGGGCGTTGTGGATGCTTGTAACCTGTTCTTACACTTTTGGATTATTAAGGTTAAAGGCTGGAAACCCTCAGTAAATGTCCCTGTGCAGGCACAGTGTTTATGATGTCACTGGGTGCTTGGACATAGCAGCTAGTGGACGGAAACGTGAGTTTACTTTCCTTGTGGCACATTTTTTAAAAGCTAGCTTATTAATGTAAACACAGAAAAGAATCATAATAGCAAAATGGACAAGAAGTTGGGGGAGTTTCTTGTTTTTTGTAAACATCCTAGGAAGGAATGCCATGGAGATTTCCAGAAGCTGTTGTAAGAGGCTGATGACAATAAGGAAAGGAAGGAGGGGGAAGGCATTGGCAGTGAAAACAAGTAACCACGTCCATGACCTTCCTGAGTGTTCATTTCTTCACGTCTATAGATGATTGCCTGTTTTTTGCTACGATCTGCTAATTTCTTCTTTCTTCTCAGCATTTCTCTTTAGTGGGTTAGGTAAAGTGGGTGAGTCCCAGATTATTTTTAACATTTATTTACAAACTTGTGCTCAGGCCAAGAGTTTTGAATGCGAGAAATGCTTTGACTTATATGTACAGTTAAGTACAACATTAAATACAGCACACTAGTCATACATTGAGGATAATGGCTTGGAACTAGGCAGGGCATGGGAACTAGTAGAGCTGGAATTTCCTCTGGGAATGATGCCCTCCTTATATGGTGTTTGCATAGGTGATGCCACAGAGGGGTATGTCCTCTTTAGCCATCTGCTGTCCACTTCTAAAGTGCTCTTTGTGAAGTTAAACCCAAGGGCACTAGGGTGGTTTTCTAGGGCTGGGGGAGAAGGGTGAAGGGAATGGATGATGGCTTCTTTTACTTCTATTTTTTTTTCTCCTCCTTTAGTCAGGTGCTTTAGTGGGAATTGTAAATTGAATTTGGCCTTTACTATGTAAGTAGAAAGTAAAGACTGGAAGATATTAGAACTTGAAAGACTCATTTAACTGTCATGGTATATACAATACTGTGGGTAAGTCTAGGTTGGTTGAATTTTATGTAAATAGAAATACAATTGAAAGTTTATTTCTATCAGTTACCTATTAAATTTGTTAGTTTTTTTGAGGGGGGGAGAAATTATCTTGAGCTAGGAATATATGTATAGAGAGGTACTACTTGCCAGAGGCGCTACTGAAAACATACATGAGAACTTAAATGGTTCGCTTATTAAATACTATTTGGTGATATTTTAATCACTTGAGACATTTACTTAAGGGTGGAAGTATTCTGTTTTGTGTATTAGAAAATGTTTAAACTTACTGGACCACTGGGTGGCATTGTAGTCTAAATTTACTCATCTCTCCGTAGTTTCTTCTCGGTGTTTGGGCTAAAGAATTGAATGCCAGAGAAGATTATGTGAAACGCAGTGTGCAGGGTAAACTGAACAGCGCCACGCAGAAGCAGACCGAGTCCTACCTCAGACCACTTTTCAGAAAGCTGCGGAAAAGGGTGAGGCTTCTTGGAGAATGTTTTTGTTAGCTGATTTTAAAAATAGAATGTATAGATTTAAAATCTTTGCAATCTGTTTTTCACTATATGCGATAGCTTCTAAAATTAGTTATGCTTTTTTCTTTTCCAGAATCTTCCTGCTGATATTAAAGAATCGATAACAGATATTATTAAATTCATGTTGCAGAGAGAATATGTGAAGGTACGTTACCGTGCTATGCATTGAAATTGGTATAGGCATGTCTGGGTTATCTGTATAACAGTAATATTTATTTGGGATGGGAGGATTTTATATAGTAGATTTAAGGGTAAATGTGAAATGAGCTAGTGGTTAAAGTTTTCCATTGGCTGCGCTGTATTTTCTTGGTCATTTTAAAAGTAGGTCTAAAGGATTTTTGAGGCATGAACTATGTACATGTGTAAGGAATGTTT